TCGTTATAGGCTTTTTCTTTGGCGTGGAAGTAGTTGGGTTGTAAGTCGCCAATTAAACGAATTTCGGTGTTAGGGATAGAGAGTTGGTAAAGAGTAGCTTCCGAAACAAATAATTTAACCTCACTTTTTTTAGCATGTTTTTTAAAGAATTCTGTAATTTTCTTTTGCGTGACATAATTGACAAAGTGGCAGTTCCTCATCTTTTTAATTTCAGTTAAGGTTTTGTCGTTATATTCAGCAAGGTTTTTTAGCAAAATACTTAATATTCCTCTTAACTTATCTTCCCTCAATTGATTATGTAAAATAGGGTCGTGAACACATTCGGTAAATAACTTGTCAAAAACGATAATCATAAACTAACTAGCTCTAACTCTTTTGCCATTCCCATTAGTGAACTTTACTAAGTTAGTTAGTTCAATACTAGAAATTTCTCTTTCTGATTTAAGAGGCTTGCGAGCATCCTTTCACGGCTTATTTTGGGCTTTTTGAGAAAGGATATAAGGTTCAGTTTTATGATGTTTCTTAAAGATTTTGTCAGCATAATTAATGGCTAATTCATTATCTAAATCTTCTACCTTAGCAAAAAGTTTATCAAGTTTATCATAATTGTCAAACATTTGGTCAACTACTGATTCCACTACTGGACCACGAGGTCAGGCTTGCCATTCTTCTCCAAAAAGTAAATAACCATCTTTGAGGGCTGCGAGATAAGTAAAGTAAATTTAAGTTTTTTAATTTATTAGTTTTAGTTATCAGAACTTTTTTTAGACCCTAAAAATTCCCTTTTTGTCTATATGAATTAAAAAGCATATGACAGAAAACCTAAAAGAAATTCTAATAAGTAAAAACCAAGAAGTTCCAATCGCTTCCTCCGGTGAAATACAAAGTATTCTCAAAGAGAAAAAGCAATTAACCACTATCAAAGGAACTTTAACTTCTCCCATTCAACTCCGTGGAGAAGAAACCAAAGAACCCTATTATTATTCATTTATTAGCTTAAAAGGACAAAGTATAGATTTACCAGTTATTTTTAAAATCAAAGACCAAGTAATTAATCTCAAAAAGAATGACCAGGTTAAATTATCAGGTCATTGCTCCAACTCCAATAAGAATTTCCGCAAATCTTTTACCTGTATTGCTTACCATCTCTCAAACGAAAAAAGATATTGGAAGTGATTCTGAGCAAGTTAAGGAACTGCAATTAAACTGTCAGCGATTAGCCAATAAAATAACC